CTCAGGTGTATGTGGCTGGCGCCTTAGCCGATTGAGCCACAGGCGCCGAGCCAGATTATTCTCTTGAACTATGATTTTTCTAAAACTCATGTTCATATATTATTTAAAAAAACCCAACAAAATAAGGCAGCCAAGTGACCGTAAGATGACTACTTTTACAAATATTTGTGGTATGTTGATGAATTGCTGTAATCAACTCCGAAAAACTTACCAGAATGCACTCAGCATTTTGAAAGCAAAGCACTGGACATGAGTATTGTCTTTATTTTTTGTTTTGAGACAGAGTCTTACTTTGTCACCCTTGGTAGAGTGCAGTGGCATCACAGCTCATAGCAACCTCAAACTCTTGGGCTCAAGCGATTCTCTGGCCTCAGCCTCCCCAGTAGCTGGGACTACAGGCACCCACCATAACACTTGGCTCTTTTTTAGAGAAGGGGTCTCGCTCTGGCTTAGGCTGGTCTCCAAACTGTGAGTTCAGGCAATCCACTCGCTTTGGCTCCCAGAATACTAAGATTACAGGCCACTTCACCTGGCTAATGTGTTCCTTCTAAGGATGTCTGAGTCTTCATTATTCACCTAATGCCTCACTGAGGTCTCAAGCTTTTGATACTTTTCCTCCTGTATCAGCTATTTTTCTTACTCTAGAGCAGATTTCACTGCTCTGGAAGCTGAACGACAGATTGGAGTCTGGATAAACACGGTACCTTGTCTAATTTCACGCGAGACTCTCGTCCACATTCGAGGGGTGTGGTGAGGGTATTTAAATCCTGTCCCCAGAAGGCAAAAAACTTCTCAATTCGGAGACTGCGCAGAGCATAATATCCAGCATTCCGGATTCCGTACTTTTGCCCAACACTCATCACTTCATTGTATACATGCAGGGCATACTACGGGGAGAGATGAAAGGTTAGTCACTAGCATACCTTCAGAATTAAACCCATAATCTGTCTGGAAGTGCTGAGGGCTCACCCTAATAACATGGCCAAGGGAGGACATCTCACCCTTGACAAGCCAAAGCACTACCACCCAGGAATAACGAGCTGAGGTCACCCCAACCCAGATCATAAGCTACATGAAAACAGGATCCACATCTTTTCTTTTCTCTAAAATGTCTCTTATAAGTCAAGCGCAGTGGCTCACACCTATAACTCTAACACTTTGGGAGGCTGAGGAGCAAGGACTGCTTAAGGTCAGGAATTTATGTCCAGCCTGGGCAATAAAAAAGACAGTGCCAGGTGTGTGTACATGGTTGTAGTCCTAGCTACTCAGGAACCTGAGGCAGGAGGATCACTTGAGCCGATAAGTAGAGGTTATAGTGAGCTATGATGACACCACTGCATTCTAGCCTAGGTGATACAGTGAGACCCCTTTTCAAAAAAATAGGAAAAAAAGGTATTTGATTATATAATTCTTTGCTTATAAGATCCAAAATGTTGTGGGCAGTGCCCATGGCTCAGCGAATAGGGCACCGGACCAATATACAGAGGGTGGCGGGTTCAAACCCAGCCCTAGCCAAACTGCAACAACAAAAAAGTAGCTGGGCGTTGTGGCGGGTGCCTGTAGTCCCAGCTACTTGGGAGGCTGAGGCAAAAGAATCGCCTAAGCCAAAGAGCTAGAGGTTGGTGTGAGCTGTGACGCCACAGCATTCTACCCAGGGCAACAAAAGACTCTGTCTCTAAAAAAATCCAAAATATTGTAAGAAGGCTGGGCACAGTGGCTCACACCTGTAATCCTAGCACCGTGGGAGGATGAGGCAGGTTGATGCTTGAGCTCAAAAGTTTGAGACCAGCCTGAACAACAGACCCCATCTCCAGTAAAAATAGAACAAATTATCTGGGTGTTGTGACAGTCACCTGTAGTCTCAGCTACTCAGGAAGCTGAGGCAAGGGGAATCATCACTTCAGCCCAAGAGTTTGAGGTTGCTGTGAACTGTGATGCATACCACAGCACTCTACCCAGGGTGACAGAGTGAAACTCTATATCAGGGAGGCCGAGGTAGACTGGCTGATCTGACAAGTTCGAGACCAGCCTGAGCAAAAGTGAGACTTCCCTGTCTCTACTAAAAACAGAAAACTGAGGCAAGAGGATTGCTTGAGCCCAAGTTGGTGGTTGCTGTGAGCAATGATGCCACGAAACTCTACCCAGGGTGACAGCCTGAGACTCTGTCTCGAAAAAAATAAATAATCATCCTAATTCATAAATATAACAAAATGCAAAAAATACCAATGAGTTTTTTTTAACTAGATAATTATGAAGTTATCTGATAAAGGTGAATTCTCAAATCAATTGGGTATCGATGTGGAAAAAAATTTGACTCATACCTCATAACATATACCAAGAGACACTGTGAAAGGATCAAGCACTTAAGTTTTTTTAGGGGCCAGCACAGTGGCTCACGCCTATAATCCCAGCACTTGAGAGGCTGAGGTGGGTGGATTGCCTAAGCTCACAGGTTGAGACCAGCCTGAGCCAGAGTGAGACCCCATCTCTAAAAAAAATAGCTAGGTGTTGTGGTGGACGCCTGTAGTCCCATCTAATTGGGAGAATGAGACAAGAGAATCGCTTGAGCCCAAGAGGTTGAGTTTGCTGTGAGATATGATGCCATGGTGCTCTACCAAGGGTGTCAAAGTAAAACTATCTCAAAAAAAATTTTTTTTAAAAAGTCAAAACCATAAATAGCAATTTAAAAAACTATGAAAGCACCAGAGGAAAATTGGAATTTTTTTTTTATTTTTGGAGACATTATCACTCTGATTCCCAGGCTCGAGTGCCATGGCCTCAGCCTAGCTCCTAGCAATCTCAAGCTCTTGGGCTCAAGCAATCCTCTTGCCTCAGCCTCCCAAGAAGCTGAGACTACAAGTGCCCACCACAACACTAGGTTAATTTTCTTTTTTTGGCCAGGGGCTGGTTTGAACCCACCACCTCCGGTATATGGGACTGGCGCCCTATCCTTTTGAGCCACAGGTGCCACCCACGTTCATTTTCTTTTACTTCTTTTTTTTTTGAGTCAGAATCTCACTATGTCACCCTTGGTAGGTAGAGTGCCGTGGCGTCACAGCTCACAGCAAACTCAAACTCTTGGGCTTAAGCGATTCTCTTGCCTCAG